CCCGCGCGCTCATATGACCTTATGCAGTTGCGAGCGCCGTAAAACCCTATACTAAACAAACAAACAAACAAACATGTAAGAAAGCGTATCAGGTGCTAGCACCTGTGGTGAAACCAAATGATGTGTTCAGTGTTATTACTAGGAACGCAAAAACTCAGTGGTTATAACTATTACTGAGACTGTAACGACTGACCACATTAAAATTTTTTCCAAAAATTGTAAGATTGCCTAGAAATTTAGCTTTTTGTACGTTTTTTTTACACAAAAAAGCTAGTAAAGAGTTTAGACATAGAAGAAAGCCAGTAAAGTGCTAGCACCTGTTGTAAAATAAAATGGTGTGTTCAGTGTTACCACTAAAACGCAGAAAACTCATTGATTATAACTATTACTATTACTGAGGCTGTAACGCCCGACCACACTATTTTCCCAAATTGTAAGATTACCTAGAAATTATATTTTTTCAGCTTATTTAAACACATAATAAAAACTAAACAGTTGAGACGTACAAGAAAGCCTGTAAGGCGCTAGCGTCTGTGGTAAAACAAAATGGTTCATTAAGTGTTTCTACTCGGAACTAATAAAAACTCAATGATTATACCCTCTACTGAGACTGTAACGACCGACCACAGTATTTTCAAAAATAGTAAGATTACCTATGAAATTAAGCTCTTTTCCAGCTTTTTTAAACACAAAAAACTAGTAACGAGTATAAATATGCAAGAAAGCCTATAAGGTGCTAGCACCTGTGGTGAAACCAAATGGTGTGTTTATTGTCACTACTACGAACCCAGAAAAATTCAATGATTATAACCATTACAGTCTGAGATTGTAACGACCCACCACATTTTTTCACAAATGTTAAGATTACATAGAAATTATTTTTTGTTGTTGTGGTTTTTCAACACATGAAAGCTCGAAAAGAGTTTAAACGAACAAGGAAGCCTGTAAAGTGCTAACACCTCTGGAAAACAAAATGGTGTGTTCATTGTTACTACCAGGAACGCAAAAAATCTCGTTGATTATAATTATTATCGAGATTGTATCGACCGACCATAATATTTTCACAAAAGGTAAGATTGCCTAGGAAATTAAGCTTTTTTCCAGCTTTTTTAAACACAAAAAACTAGTAACGAGTATAAACATGCAAGAAAGCCTATAAGGGGCTAGCACCTGTGGTGAAACCAATTATGCCATACTAAGGCTCTCCCCTCGGATTTGTTTCTAGATTCTATATTAAAAAAAGAAAACAGCTTTAGTCTGAAAACTGATAACCTAACACATCTGGGTGTTTCGCATTGTACAGCTACATTCACACACTTTCGCAGTATTGGCCCCTGCCTCTTAAATAACCTAATAGCGTTGATAGGGGCCTTAAACGTATACTGTTTCACATGTTCACAGTATTGGCCTACTGACACCAAGTCAACGATTTTTGCTAGCACTGGTCACGTAATATCAATATTAGGCGAAAGAATTGCTAGAATGTCAATGTTCAAGTCTCCTTTATTAATCAACTGGCGACAAAGTTCAAAGCCACACCTCACGGTAACCAGGCTTACACTCAACCATTAGGTTTAATTTACTGACAAAGGGGCAACCAAAACACTGGATATGTCATTCTAAAGCATTTTATTTATAAGTCAACGAGTTTAAGATGATTCGACCTCAATTCCAATCAGTCAACTCAGAGACTCCGTCAAGATAACAATTAGAAAATACTCGCCGTCGTCGAATTATGCTCTGTCTGTGCTATCCGAATCGTAAGATAATTTTATCGTTATAACGATATCCAAAGAATTGCAAAGGTTGACAAGTTGCGAAAGTTAATTTTTTTTACATCAAATTTCTCAAAACAAGGCACTGAGAACATAGAACTGTATAATTCTGAGGTGACGAAATATAACATCACAGTAAAGCACGAAATTTTGTTGAAATGATTTAGGATAAAAAGCAGAGGACCATTCAAATCTCTTGTATCATTTATTTGTGATGTTAACAGTTTCAAATCTCATTTTGCACCTGTTAATGAAAGTTTTGATTAGCTTGCAAATGGCATCAACGGTCTGCATGCCATGAAACTATAAAAGAAAAGGGAATGAAAAAGTACGTGCGTATGATATTCACACATTTGCTTATTACAAAACAAAGGACCCC